TTGACCCCTTTCTACACAGCCCTGCTTTGCTTTGAGCCTCTCAAAACACTGCTTCATTTACATTTCACTTCAGCACCCCTCCTCTAATCTGTAACTATGCTTTGTTTTTTGTGCGGTGCGACGCTCCACAGGTCCTCCTGTACAGTCAGTCTTCTTGGTGCAATGAGCATTGCAATAAACCTGACCTTGCCAGACAAGCCTGATTGGCTCTCTGTCAGAATGGGCTAGAGCAGGGGCTGGAAAAATAAAGGATCTGTCAAGCCCACCAGTAACCACCACTAAGCCCTCAGAAACCCCAAATAAACTTGAGGGCCTTATGGGAATAAATATGTCCTTCTCCTCCTGGTGACTGTGAACTTGAAAAGGAGACCCATGGTTACCATGCAGCTTCTACAAGACACTGTCCAATATAGAGCCTGGTAAACTGTAAATCATTTCTAATTATTCATCTGCTCAACTACAATTTGTTATGTGCCCTCTGAGTCCCTGTTTTCTAGGCTATAGGGTGGGACTATCAAGTAGAAGCCACAGCACCCACCTTGAGAGACCAATGATAGCCACAAGTCACCATGTGTCACTATCATAGGGGACAACTCAATGAAGCAAGTCAATGAACAAAGTGATTAGAAATGTGGTATGGTGTCCAGTGACGAAGTGAGGGGAGGTTAGGCAGGAAGGTTTAGCCTTTGTCCCCTAGTCATCATTTATTCAGAAGCCTGATCTGCCTTTGTACAAATTCTATCAAGAATTATCTTTTTCCTAACCCATCTGCTCAACTGCTCTTCTGAATCTCTAAGACTGAACTGTTAGTTCAGAAAGATGCTAAATAGTCCTTTCTCTGAGCTATTTTTTTTTTTTTTTTTAGCCCACAGAGGCCACAAATCTGCATCACTTGTAGTAAGGAAGAGAGAAATTCCAGATGTGGTGAGCTGGAGGAACCTTGGGGCACTTCACTTATGAATATTTAGACAGTTTTCCTCTTGTTATGAAAATTATGGCAATCTGTTCCCCAGCATGTGTTTCAGATGAATTTCAATATCATAAAAGCTTTACTGGGGAAGGGGAGATGGTGTTAGCTGTTCAAATAAATCCTGATCAGCTGAGTTTCACTTTCACTCAGAAAATACCAATTGACATGAACATTTTTTGAATCATCGTAACTCTTAGTCCTGATGGGAGTTTGTATTTTAGCATGCTAAGGAGGCAGCTGTGTAGGCGGGAGCTTGTCTCCTCTGTACTGCTGGGCAATTTTTGACATACGTTTGTCTTCCAACCAGAAGGACGGAGGATGCACTACTCCCAAGCTCAGGGTTATTTCTAGTCGTTGGTCAGCACCCTGTGTCCTTCTACCTGAATATGGGTGTTGCATCAAAATCCAGAAGCAGCAAAATATTCCAAATGGAGAGGGCTTTTTAGTGGACTGCAGTGCCCCCTGGACATCATGGAAGAATAATTACCCCAGAATTTGTTCTCTAAATGAAAGCCAGACTGTATGTAAGGGGTGAGATTAGACTGCAGAAATGCATTTTCGAAGTACATGAAAAATGTTGGCCAATAAACATCCCTCAAGGCTTCACTGACAGTGATAATTCTCCTTCCTGACCTACTACCCCCTTACACGAATATTTAGACCTGTGTCCAATGACGTCATTTCATGTTCCTACTGAACTGTTCACATCTTCCTTTTGTCTCTCCCATCCGGCCGCTCAATTCTTGGAATGCAGAAACCTTTCATTCTGAATCATAAAACTTTTGGAATTGAATCAGAGGATGAAGATGCTGGGAGAAACCTCAGGGGTTCTCTCTGATACAACCCTCTGACTTCACAAACAATACGGACAATGAAAAAAATTATGTGCTCAAGGCCACACAGCTAATAACAGAATTGGTCCTAGGATCTGTGCTTTCTGACTCAGCCAAAACACATCACCCAGCCTCTGTAAAAGCCCTCTTCATTAACCCACCCCCACACCATGACGCTTCCATAGAGCCAGGTGGGTGGCCTTAGTTAAGAGACATGTAGGAGTGAACAAGGCATGGGGTAGAGTCCTTCCACATGCTTAAAGGAACTGAGCATTTGAAAATGTATTAACATCCAGGCCCAGGAAGCCCGTCTTAGATCCCAGAATAACTCTCAACCTACACCATCCAATTGGTGGTCACTAGGAACATGTGGCTATTGAGCACTTGAAACGCGGCTACTCCGAGTTGTGATGTACCATACATGTAAAATACACACTGGATTATGAAGACTCATATGAAAAAAGAATGAAAACATGTCATTTAATAATTTTATATATGTTATATATGGAAATGATAACACTTGGGATATTGAGTTAAGTGAAAAAAAAAAAAATATATATATATATATATATATATATATATATATATATATATATATATATTTTATCCTCACCCAAGGATATCTTTGTATTTCTCTTCAGATAGAGTGGGAAGGAGGGAGAGAGGGGGAGAGAGAGAGAGACATTGATCTGAGAGATACACATTGGCTGGCTGGCTGCTACATGACCCCGATCAGGGCTGGGGATGAACCGCAACCAAGGTATATGCCCCTGACCAGAACTGAACCCGCAACTCATTGGTCCAAGGGCTGATGCTCTAACCACTGAGCAAACCAGCAGGGCAAGTAGATTATATTTAAATTAAGTTTACCAGTTTCTTTTTTCATTTTTAAAATGTGGCTACTAGAAAATGTCAAATCGCGTATGTGGCTCACATAGTGTTTCTATTGGCTAGCACTGCTCTCAAACACAGCTAACCCCCTCCCACCTAATCCTTCCAAAAAGATTTAGCCTCCTTCCCACAGGCATTACAGAGAGTGAAAATCAAGGACATGCTCTTGTCCTAAGGCTAGTTTCTGAGACCTGAGTGTTAGACACTTAAGCATGCCCTGCAGACTGTCTATTTTGGGCCACATCTTTACAAGTGACATTCAGGTCCCTCCTGCTCAGCCTACCCGCCCCCCCCCTCCTCCAAATAACCCATAAGTCACCCAAGGTCCTATTTACTCTGGACAGGGTTGAACAATCTACAGGGAAGTTCTCTTTCCTGTCCTATTAAAACTCTTTTCCATTACAAAAACATTCTCTGCTCCTCAGATTATTATTTCTGCAAACACGAGTTAGGTTGGTGAAGGCCACTGGTTGTCACTTGTCATGAGGATACTGTCCTAGGGACCACATTCCAATTTCCTTTGAGGTTTGCTGCATTTTCCCCTTTTCCTTTTCCTGCCTACTGCCCACTCCATCCATCCAAGCAACTTTCCCAATAACCCTGATCAGCGATAAACTTGTTAACAGCCATAGCTACAATATGAGCAGTTGAATAGAAGGAAAGATGGGCTACTGTCCAACAATAGCAATGTTTCCAAAATGGTTTAACTGTCAATTCTTGAAAAAAATTTCAGGACTCTTAAAGAATCTCAAAGATTTTAGTGCCTAAAGGTAGGTTTAGCATGATAAGCCTATAACCTGCATGAATAAATGCAGGGCTATTTTCTCCTTAGGAATACTTGTAAGCTCAGAACAGTGTTTCTCCAAGTGTGGGCCTAGACCAGGAAGCAGTAGCACCTTGGGATGTGTTAGAAAAGCACATTTCCAGGCCCCACTCCAGATCTATGGACTCAGAAATTCTGGAGGATGGGGCCCAGCAACCTGGAGGGGGCATATCTCCAGAAGATTGTGAGTACCTTAAGTTTGAGAACTGCTGAATTATACTATTATCCAGAGTCTGTACTATTAACAGATGAAAGGCATTTAGGTTCACTTGAACCTTAAATACTAAGGCAGGGGCTCTAGCATCTCCATCTATATCATCATGAATTTATTTATCTAATCCACCATTTTTGGCTTAGCCAAGTCCTATAAATTCATTTTCTTGTGTCTAAGGCAGTATCCCTTATTTGCTCCCCAAACTACCTATTTTGCACTACAAAAGGAATTCCTGGTATATTATTCTGCAATTATAAGAACAAATCTATACTTGCTCTTACATTAATCTTAATTATATATGTATGAGATATCGTCTCTCAATCTTTGGCTTTCCAAACTAGATTAGTAGTCTGTCTGCATTATCCTCATAGGAAAACCTGAAGCCAAAAACAAACAAACAAACAAACAAAACCCACAAAAACCGTAGAAGGAATCAAGTACTTGTTTCTGGGGAAAGACACACTAGAGCACGTTCAGAATGCTCAGCTATGGGAGGAACGACTAAGGAAATGGACAGTTGCCTGATTTAGCAAATACAAACACAGGATGCTCAGTTACATTTGAATTTCAGATCAACAACCAATATTGCATGGGATGTACTTATCACCCCCAAATTATTCATTGTGTATCTAAAATTCAAATAGAACCGGGCATCCTGTGTTTTATCTGGCAAGTCTAGAATTGGGAAAACTGACCTTTGGGAAGGTTCTGGAGAGACAACTGTCCTCAAATATATAAGGGACTGTTAGGAAAATGGGCCAGTATCAATATAGTCTCAGAGACTAGAACCCGTGGGGAAAAATCATAGGAAGAGGATACTGGTTGAGGGATTCAAGCAGAGATGTGCTGAGGATGCTGGCAGGAAGTCAAGGTTTGAGAGTGTTGGCTGAGTGGCTGGCTCAAAGATATGTCCTCTCTGACTTGAACGTCTGTGAACCCCTGAATTGCTTAAGTTGTCATTCTCTAGAATGTCTCTGCCTCTGGAACTATGCATAGTGCCCTGGGTAGTAGCACTGGCTCTGCACATGGGTGAGATACACAAGCAGGACAGAACCACATTTCATAAAGGAGACACCCCCACCCTCAAGAGCTCTGAATCTAACTGTGTCTCTACTTCTCTGGGACCCAATGAAACGCATTTGTGTGCATTTTATCTGATCTGTTGAAAAAAGCCATTACGATTATGTGAGGATTTTATCCAAAGCATTTCAATTATTTAAAAACCTTGAGCTGCTTTCAAATGTAAAATGAACACATAAGGAAACTCACTCTTTGTCCTGCTGTCCATTTCTGGTTTTGACGAGTCTGGAGTTGCTGTAGCTGGAGGTAACTTCTTTCCAATAGTCTGAAAAAGAAAAAGAGGATTCTACTTATCAAAGTGATTCTCGTCATTAAGCAGAGGAATAAAACCAAGATCACAATGACGATATGCTCACAACTGGTTCTGAAAGCCGCACACTTAAGCTTTGCACCGCTCTGTGCATTGGTCTGAACCTCAACGACAAACAAGCGGGAACATCAGGTAAAAAGGGCATTCAGTACCTTTTGTTCCCATTCTACTTTGAAGTTCTTATTAAAAGGTTGATTATAGTTAGCAAAGAAAATAAATACATGTCCCCTCATTTTATGAGCAGCTGACTAAATCTATGGAGACACAGCACCTGGCCCAGAGGAAGTGCTCAAGCGTATCTACGTCCTGGCCGATGTGGCTCAGTAGGTTGAGTGTTGACCCATGCACCCAGAGGTCGCCGGTTCGATGCCCGGTCAGGGCACATGCCCAGGTTGTGGGCCCGATCCCCAGCGGTGGGCATGCAGGAGGCGGCCAATCGATGTTCTCTCTCATTGATGTTTCTATCTGTCTCTCCCTCTCCCTTCTTCTCTAAAATCAATAAAGAAAAGTAAAATTTTAAAAAGGTCATTCTTTAAAAAATAAAAAGAGTATCAACGGAGAGGAAGAATAAGAATGGTAGTAAGAGGGAATGAATAAAAAGAGAAAGCGAAGAATGGGATTAAGGACAGACAAACAGATGGACAGGTAGAAGGACAGGCAGAAACCAGAGTGTCCAGGGCAACTGTGCTTTACTGCATCCCCTTCTAGCCCAAGGAAAATGACTACTGATACCAAGGAAACAGCTGTCAAAACCAAGGAGCGGGGTGAATCAACCTCCCCAACAATGAAGGGTTTCCCCAGTGAGAATTCCAGCCACTGGGAAAACCAAACACATCTGCCCTTTGGACACATGAAGAGGAATGAACTGCATAATTAAAAAACCGGCACAGTGGAATGTTCCTTCAAATAAAACTGATTCATCACAGTTTTTAATTTGAAAAATGTCTTCATGCTTCAAATGTTGAAACTAACATTAAATATGAATAAATCACAGAAAGAGGATAAGATAAATCAAATCCTCAGTCCCTCATGAATTTTTTAAAACATTTGTGACAGAAAGCCTTTATATTTTACACGGTGACATTTTTATTTAGTGCCGCAGGGTTTTCTATATATTAGATAAAAAATGAAATCCAAAATATTATGCCGCCCCTCAACTGCTGCTAAGTACTCAAACTAATAACATTTTGTGATTTCAAGGAAACATCAAGGAGAAAAAAAGCCTGATGTTATTCGGCCATAGGTTGAATTTGATGGAAAACTGTTCTTAGAGTTGAGAAATCAGGAATTGACAGTAAAAATAGATGCTCTCACAGCATCTATTGTCATTCGCATTCCTGTTCACACTTCCAACAGCATCCTTATGAATCTCCTTGGTTCTTTTTTCCCCTTTTGGGGACCAGAATAAAGCATCACTATTGTTAGAGCATTAGCAAGGATGAAAGAACAGCAATTAATACTTTAGTTATTACTGACAGGGGAAAGAAGAAATCAGTAAAACACAATAGTGAACACTATGTCCAATCCTGACTGTCCTGGAAGGGGGAGAGAGGGAGGGACGGAGGGAGGGAGGGAGGGAGGGAGGGAGAGAGAGAGAGAGAGAGAGAGAGAGAGAGAGAGAGAGAGAGAGAGAGAGAGAGAACACGCGCACACCAATGTTTGGACTTTATAGCAAATGCCTTCCTTTAGAGAAGCCTTCGCAGGTTGCATATTCTTATAACTTCCCCTTATTTGGTAACAAAACGAAGTACTGCCCATCATGTCTAATGTCCTAGTTTACCAGTCTGTGCAAGTTCACAGACATCACATCAAGGAAAGCCACTGGTTAAATCCACTTACTTCTGTACAGACACAAGAAAGCAAAGTTTGCTCTGCTCCTTTTTCTCACTATTTCAGAAAATGCAGCACAATGGCCTCTGTGTGGATCCCAGCAACAGGGGTGATGGTGAAGCTGATACTGCACTTACCTTCCAGGGATGCTGGACCTTAGCTTTGTCCTTCTTCATGGGCTATAATTGAAGGTCTAGAGTAAGGCAAGTCCCTCCACTCTTAGCCTGGTCCTCCAGGTGTCCCAGAGATGTGACTTATTTAGCTGTTTCTCTTTTCTCTAGACTCAGAGAAGTCTGGTTCCCAAACCAGCAACACCAGCATCACCTGGGAACTTGTTAGTAAAGCGAATTCCCAGGCCCTGCCCCAGGCTTTCTCAATCAGAAACTCTGGGGACGGTGCCCAGCAGTCTCTGTCTGAACACACCCTCCAGGGGATTCTGATGCACGCTCATGTTTGAGAGCCACCGACCTAGATGTAGGAGGAATTCCCGTAGTGCTAACCAAATACCTTTCCTTGGATTAACAACTCGGGTGCCTATTCTCAGACCTAGATAAATTATAAAACATCTTTTCACTCTTCTTCCTCCCTCCTCTCTCTCTTTCCACCTTCTTTCTACCTTCTCTATTTGTAACTGGCCTAAGAACTTGCCATTGCTACTAAATGAGTCAGTTCAGGAAGAAAATGGAGTTTAGTAGAACAAGCAATATGACAATATCACTCAGATTTTTTTTTTTAAGTGGGGAGCATAGGTAACCATGAGGCTCTTCACAAAAGGAGAACTGAAAGGATGAATGTAGAAATGGATGAACAGACAGAAAGATGGTTTTGAACCAAAAATGTGAGACTATATCTAGCCTCTCTGGCTCAGACTACTTCAAAGGCCAAGTAGGCAGATACCCATGACGGTACTAACCTTCAGGGAAAGTCACACCCTGCTGCTCCTTCTGTGTTTCCCTTAATTGACCTCCATGGTAGAAGACTGTGTCACACAACGACTGCTCCTGCCCATGAACAACCTGTAGTGCTCTTCTGTCATTGTGTCTACGCCAACACCCCACACATTTCCAAATACCCCATTCGAGAACCTCCATCCCCTGCTCTTCTACTAAACAAAAGAACAAACACAAGGGGCAGTGAAGTAGTGTTTTCCCAACAGGCTTCTAGCCTCTCCTTCCTCTGAAAACATCTTTGGTCAATTGAAATGAACTGAACAGGTCCCCGGTTTTTAAAGGGCATGCACCAGGAAGGCAATGCCTTGCTCCAGCACACACACAGATCATGTATAACTGAAGGTCAGCTACGATGCAGGCCAAAGTGAACAGAACAATCTGGGAATCATATCCACACATGTCTCATCCATCCCGCAGGCAGCGAAGGAGGATGTGAGGCCTGCAGTGGCTGTGGAAGAGGGTTCAGGATCTCCACTTGTGCCCTCCTCAGCAGAGCCCCCAGTTCTTGTCCTCCTGGGTGCCCGTGGCTTATCCGGGACAAGCACTGGCCCTGCAGTTAGGGGCTGTATCGACACTGCTCAGGATACAGCTCTTGTACCTCCTAGGAGATCTGTCCATTGTACCATAGGCCATCTGAAGGAACAGACTTTCAGGCTCTGCTCCATAACTCAGCCCAACATTTCCTATTCTCTTCAGTGCTGTGGCTAAAGACCCCTAGCACCCATATCCACATGGCTCTGGTCTGCCTGGCCCCCAACTTGCAAGCCACTGTTCAGTCTGGGAGTGGAAGTATATATGGATGTCTGTAGAAGGCGGAAAGCTCTACGAATAGACGATGGCTATCAATCTACTTCCACACACAGTGATCGCCAGGCTGCTGTCAACTTGTGTCTCTCCTACCACATCCTAATCTAGAAATAAACAATTCCAAAAATTAATTCCTTTGAATATTTAATACCAGAAGTCCCTCTCCTATTACCTCTCTTGACAAAAGTACTCAATAAAATGTGGGAAATTTTCATATATACTTCTAGCTCTACAAGATCTGGTAATATGGCATCAGGACAGATAACCCCATATGATTTCTGTAAGTGGGACAAGTATTTTTTTTTTCCTTTCTGTGCCAAAATGAAGAAGCTAATGCTCAAAGGAAAGATAATCACTGAATTCGTGTCCAGTGGAATCCAGTTCCCTAATGACTAATGTGTTTGTTTCTCTTTGGGACTGCTGGATCCTGAGAGGAGAATCCTGCTCAAATCAAGTATAAACTCACTCCTCTGACGTTATTCTAATTCAGATGCAAACTCCCTCGAGTGTAAAAAAAAGTTTCAATTATATGGCAGTGCTAAGGAGAAGGAAGTTTAAGTCCTATCTCTGAAAGTCTCCTCTCCAAGAAAGAATACTGCACACATTTGAATCACAAAGGCAACCAGGTTTGATGTGTAGGGGAGCAGGGCCAGGATTGGTGAGGCCCCCTGGCAGATCAGGCTTTCAGACGGCTATTCTAGAAGAGAGTGATCTTCTGAGAAACTTTATGTAGACATTACTCAAGGGCTCACACAAAGCCAAACACAAGAGATGACTTTTCAAAGCACTGGCAAAATATGAGATGAAGGATGGCTTTTTGAAGGCATTCCTTTCACTCTACTAGGATCTGACGGGACTCCTTCCCTTTCTATTCAGTACAGATTTATTAGTGCCTGTTCCATGTGAAGCAGGGCAGCAGATGAAAAGGCAGGAGGATGCTGAACACCCCTTGAAACACTAAAACCGCAATTCATCAGTGCCTCCAGAGAGGTGTGTTGAGGGGTTCCCAACCATTCAGCGTGGTTATTCCAAATCCTAGTCATATACAGGATATGGAGCGATACAGGCTATAGAAGACAGTGATGGGAGGAGGGACAAAACAGTATTTTTATATGACCATATCCTCAACCTTTCAGCTTTCATTTCCTACCATATCTCAGAAAGGTACACAAAATGCTATTAAAATTCACTGCACAATTTTAATATTTATTTTCACATGCTCCTCTCATGAACACCTATGACTGATGGTACTTTGAAAAGTTTTCTTGGTGCTCAATCGGGAGCCATAGGAGCAGAGCAGAAGCTTCATGAACCAGCTCATGTCATAACCAGTGAGAACTAGCACAAAGGAGCGTCCCTACAATGGAG